CTGAAGAGACTTTGAGATCACAAAAGCAGGAGCCCGCCTCTGTTCCGTCCAAGCCAGAAGAAATTGGCGATCCTCCTGCCGCGGGCAACGGCAAGCTACCTATTGCCACCGGCCAGATTCTAACAAGATTACCTGTAAAACCTTCATTATCTAGTACAATACCAGCAAAGAGAGATGAGAAAGACTTCAATTATACTAAAGTTGCTGCCGCAGCAGGGCCTCCTTTGGATCCTGGGAGCAAAAACATACCATTGCTGAAAAGGGTTCCGCCAAAATTGGACTGGGCCATGTCACCACAAGTGTCAGTACCTGTTGATAAAAGGTGGCCAAATGGAGGATCAAATCCTTCTGTTTCCTATTCTTTGGCATCTTCTTTGCAGGCATCACCTCCACCGCCCAAGACAGAAGCTCGTTATGTGGCTGTTGGAAATGAATTGAAGAATCTACAGATAGGAACTGTGAGAGAACCAGTTATAGTCATGCAACGACCCCAGTCTGTCAATGCCAGGCACACTCCCACCTCAAATGTAAGCTCATCTCCTCCAGGAACAGCAGTGTCGTGGTATCCTAGTAATATTGCTGAAACAATGACACCCAATGGTATGATTCCACATATTCCGTGCACAAGAAGCCTGAGCATGAATGGCGTCAGCACTAACCAATTGTACAACCAACTTCATTATCAACAGCACCCGCATCCAGAACAATTTGTTTCCAGCAATGGCACACTTGAATCACCAGGATCTAGCCGGGGAAATAGTTTGTGGAGTAACACAGGTGCATCCCAGACACAATCAATTGCTGCAGCTTCCTCACTTGGACTTTTCTCCGGTTTGGGCACCAATGGTACTTCTGGGTCATCGTCTCCTGTTGACTGGAACACCGGCGGTGGCTCAATGCTGCAGCTAGATTACGCCAACATAGACTGGAGTTTGGATCGCGGCTCATCGCCGTTGAGAACAGGTGGTATGTGGCCAACAACGAACTCATTTATGCAAAACAATGCTCGTAAATATGATTCATTTACCCCTGGACTTGCTGTAAAGTCTACCATAAGACCTGATATGCGCAATGGGATTGGTATACCGATTCCCGGGTTGCACGATGGAGCAAGTACAGCAGAAACGTCGGCTGGCGGTTCTCGGGAGTGGACTTCTCCTTTTGAAGAGAAAGACCTTTTTAGCTTACCAAGACAGTTTGTTTCTTCTCCCTCGCTGTAGGGTGGTGGGAGGGATTTGACTGAATAAAAAAGAAAAGAGATGAAAAAAAGAGAACAGTAAATGTGCTTTGGATTTGGTGTTGGTGTTGGCTCTTATGATGCATTTGCCCTCTTGATATTGTGAGCAATTATAGTGAAAAAGAATACAGTCGTTTTGGTTTAATATCCGTTTTCTTTTTCCTTTTTTTCCTTTCTTTTCAGCCCCCTTCCAAATCAAATACGTTCCCGCTGAATCTAAATCTAAATTAAAAATGACAACAATATAAATTGGAAATTCAATTTTATAGCTGTTTGATTTGGTTTATATGAATAATAACATACCATTATAGTGGGTTTGTGTTTCTTATATTAATTAGAAAAAACCTACTCTTAACTGATCCACGTGCAGAAAAACTTGTCCTCAATCGCTGAAAAAGGTAAAATTACATAAATTACTATGCTTAATTAAATTGATTAGTAATAATTGGAGATTGCCAGAAGAACTTCCCCAATTGAAAACTGACTAATCAAACATATGAGTGAAGTTTATGTAAATGACTCATAATATGAATTATTACTTGATTTTAAGCTTTTCGTGATTTATGTCTAGAGTAACTCAAATTTTTTAGAAAGCAGCTGGCCTATGGTGCTTGTGACAATCCTAACTTGTAAATTAGTTCGAAGGACAAATTCCATGAGGAAATTCCACCATATCTTTCCCACTAAAATAAAAGAAAAATACCAAATAAAGGGAAAACAACAGGAAGGGAGAAAAGCAACAATAACAACGACCCAATGAAATCTGGGGCAGAAGAATGTGTACACAGACAGACTGTTTCCGATAGACCCTCGGCCAAAGAAGACAAAAAGAGTCAATATATCAGTATCATCAATAAAAATCATAGAAAAAAACCCATAGAAAGACACAGCAGTATCTCAAGAACCAGAAAATAGATGAAAAGCAAAACAATAACCAGTAGATAAAGCCCGACACTACGAGAAACAAAAAGTGGTGTGAACTCAACATAAATCACTAGCAGTGTATGACTAAATCCTAACAGATTAGCCTCACTCTAGAGCGTCGTAGAAATATGCACAACTATCCCCTAGCTTACAACCTTAATGCTCGACTTCCACAACTTCCTATCTAGGGTCATGTCCTCGGTAATTTGAAGTCACGCCATGTCCTACCTGATCACCTCTCCCCAATACTTCTTAAGCCGCCCTCTAACTCTCCTCGCACCCACCAAAGTCAGTCGCTCACACCTCATTGCATGTGCATCTAGGCTTCTCCTATGAACGTGCTCGAACCATCTAAGTCTTGCTTCTCCTCTCCATGGAGGTCACGTCCACCTTCTCCCGAATAAAAAGGAAGGAAAAAAGATTTTAACGATTATAATTAAAAGATTAATTTGAATTTCCCATTAATAACACAAAGTTTTCCAAATTCCACGTCAGCTTCTTTTTTGCCTCTAGTTCTCGTCCAACCAACCAACCAAAAAAAAAACAGAAAGAACTGGCTGAGAGATCAGTAGAGCTCAGATACAACAACAAGAACAAAAAAGAAAAAGGCAACTCCCTCTATTGTGTGACTCCTAACAATGGCCTTTTCTTCATCATCCTCTTCTCTATTACTTCATTTCAAGCTTCCCCTTCCTCATACTCAAAACCCATTTCGTAGATTTTCTTCAAATTCTTGTTATGTACCCACTAAGATTTTACCCAAATGCTGTTCTCAAAGCTCTAAGTCACGAACTTTGTTCGAGTGTTACTCCCAAAGACAGTCAAGTGAACGAAAAACTGAAGAAATATTGGAAGGAGAAGTAGTGGGTATAAAGGAAGAAGTGTATGACTTTGAAAGACTGTTTTCTAACCTCAATCAAGCCACTTTTAAGAGAGAAGCAGGTATTTGTAATTTGCTTCTTTCTTAGTTGATCTTCCACTGTTTCATCATGCTTGACTTTAATGGTCTGGTCAATGCCATTTTCTTAAGCTAATTCTCAAAACTTTTACCAAAGGTAAAACTAATACTCAGAGTATCACAACAGTCACTAAAGGATTGTAACAGAAAAAAATCAGTCAACTTTGCCTAATTGAATAGCTTTTTGGTTATTTAGGTAAAGTTGAGCGACTTTTTCTTCATAAATTGTTTTTAGTGACTTTGGTGAACTATAATGAAAGTTGAATAAATGAAATTAACCCCACTATTACTGCATTGTCTAGTTGTTTGAACACTGCAGTGTCTAAAGGGATTAGGGAAATAAGGAATTAGGTGGAAGATCTTGGTAGGGGCGGGTGGGAGAGATATTTGATGTAACAATCCTTGTAGTTCAACATTCAGCACTTAGGTTGAAATGAATTTTTTTGGTCTAGTTGGATTAGTATTGGGACTAATATCAAAGTCGAAAATTGTGTACTTTATGGCCGGAATGAAGCAAATGTTTCAAGTTCGCTTAGAAATTTTGTTATATGGAAATCTTGATGTTTTATGTATTTGTTTAACTGTCTTCCTCAATTGTTTCAGGAAGCCTCAGCAGTGCCATTTTTCTCGTTGCTGGCACCACTGTACGTTTGCCCTCTCTTTGTCAATGCATGATTTGTGCATAAAGGGCAGCCCGGTGCATGATTTTTGATTTGTGCATGTGTATATTATTTGCTTATTTATCACATACCAGCATCTGATGATAAGATATTAAATTTATGTCATCCACATTCTCTTTGTGACTATAGAATTGTGTAATTGTTGCTTCTTCATTATGTCAAGTTCTAGGTGTAGTAGTTGCAGTGTGAAACGTTCGTGATACTTCTGACTTGATATTGGTGGGATATGGAACTAGTTTCAGGCACTATTTCATCAAGTGTGCATCTTTAGATGATGCAATCTTCTAACACAGGAGCAAAACGTATATAGAAAGGGGTTACTCAGTTCATATTTAGCCGCAATGGCAGAGAAACAAAGAGCTTTCTGCTTCTGTTGAGACTAAATTAACATTAAAAAGTAGTCCTTAAGTGGACTCTCGAAAGACTATGCAAATGGATGAATTTGTTCTGCTCACTGTTAGATACTTCTTTGATGATCCCTGGTTTCAGAGAATTGAATTTTGCTAATATCTTTTCTTCCCCAGTGCTTCGAGATGAAGTAATCTTCTTCATTATGAGGTTCGATGGTCACTTGGGGAATGTCTGTGATCGACTACCTATAAATTAGAAGTGATCACATATTCACATGTTATCATTTTTTACTTTATATAGCACATCCTAGAAAACAAATGAAGACTGGGGTGTGTGTGTGTTATGTGACATGTGTAACAACTACAGGGTGCTTGCTGACCCTGTAACACATAGATTCGGATTTACTATTACTAGGTGTGACCTATATAATCATGATTGGTTCGTTAAGAAGTTCAAAGGTTTCTTTCTCTTCGTTTCACCTCTAATGTGCCATCTTGGTTCATCTCCTAGTATTAAATACATTTCTGTTGCCTGCTTTCTTATGTGGTCTTATATTCCAAATAGCTTCTTATTGTGATCTTCTCCCATTCCGAAATTTTATGTGGTTGTTACATGTCAAGACTGGTACTTCTGCACAGTCAACTTTCTGCTAAACAGTTGATCTTCTTCTAACTGTACCAGAGTTGCTTCCCATTTATTAGGACAAATCTTTTTCATGCTATTCAATAAATCTCCAAATTTACGTTGCTGAAAGATAGCATCCTATCCAATGTTGCTGTACCAGAAACTTTAAGTTAATTAAATTTATAAATGTTGCTGTACCAGAAACTTTAAGTTAATTAAATTTATAACTTTAAAGCCACATATTTTATTAGTAAAGAAAGTTAATAAAGCAACCCGTACGGACACTCATTTCTTAATATCCATTCCTGATTAAGGTGTAGACTCTGATTGGCTTAAGGGAGTATGAGAAAGTTATTTGAAATGCATGAAGAGGGGAAGTCGACGATTTCAAAATATGAATATATGAGTTTTTCCTGGCTGTGTACATTTTTTGATTTTGATGGTAGTAGCTTCCTTCCATGAATATCAACAATTCTCGAGCATATTCTGATTGCAAATTCTTTCTTGTTAGGCATCATGTCTCCTACGTTTTTACTCTTATTTAACATGAATGAAAGGACTAACAGTAAACTATCATCTATGTGTCGTGAATAGGTAGGTGCAGGTATTCTTGCTATTCCTGCAGTCACACAAGAATCTGGATTTCTAGCCTCTGCAGTAGTTTGCATTATTTGCTGGATTTTTATGGTAAACGATTCAGCATTTTTTCAACTTCTCCATTTTTCATTTTCTTATCTGATTCACACAAGACTGCCACATTTGATTCCTCTTACCCCTTCTCTTCCCCACTCCTAAACCAGTCTTCAATTTTCTGGCTTTAATAAGATTCTTGGAAATCCAAAATGGTGCAGGTAGTGACTGGACTACTTATTGCAGAAGTAAATGTGAAGACAATGTGTGAGCTCGGTTCAGGCGGTGTGTCATTGGTATGATACTTATTGATCTGGGCATAGATTTTCTTTTCTTCCTTCTTCAAGAAAATGGTTTTGTTAAATTACTCAGGAGCACCCATTACTCTGCGTGGAGAAAAGCTTATGCTCACAGAACTTAGAAATTTGGACTTCCATTTTTCTTTTCCATGTTGGGTGTTTTAATGTTATCCTCCTCTCTCAAAGCAGATATCACCTGTCATTATCTAATGTGAAATGGGAAGTCAAGATAACCGTTTTTACATCTAATATTTTAAATAGATGGTCTTATTTCACGTTAGTTTCTTTTAAAAAGTTTAATAAAGTATCATCTGCACTTCTCATCACGCTTCAACTTTATATGAAGATGTTTCCTCACTTCCTATAGATGTGGTAGCTATACTAATCCGATATGCTTCCTTTGATTTCAACTTCTAATTCCATTCATTGCTTATCTTAGTGGCACATGGTTATTTCAGGTGTCAATGGTCAGGAGAACGCTAGGAAATACAGGAGTGCAAGTAGCTTGGTAGGTTGATCTTACATTGCTAATGCCGCAAAATTGGTTATCTTTTGCTTGAATTCCAAAACTTTTCCAGTGAGCCTTGTTACTATAGTGATTTATCGACTGCTTTGAGTGAAAAAGAGAAAAAGCAAAAACAAGTTTTAGTAACTGTCTTTTGATGGTATTCATTGATGT